ACATCGGTTCTAGACATGCAGTGATTCCCAAACTTGGTTTGAGTGGTCATAGGACCAATATAAACACTTTCCGACCAATTTTAAACCGTTCTGAGCATTTTTAGGACAATATTCATTTTTGTTCATTTTCGTTCATTACATGAACCTGGGTAATGTTATTTGAGTTTTGATGGCTCTTAGGCCTAGTTTTTACCTATATCCATCTTAGAAAACCGAATTGAGGCTTCCCAGCACTTAAATACAGCCAATACTTCGATGTGCCCATGTTCCAAAAATCTGGATTCTCAGGAGGATTATTGTCCCAAAATTGGAACATTTTGGAACTATATATATATATCCATCATTTACAATTATTTTTGGCACTATTTAGAGCTTATTAGGGCAAATAAATGCATGGGACACTTTTGGGACAATTTTGGGACATGTTCCAAAAATGTTCCAAAAATGTTCCAAAAATCTGGATTCATCAACTCGATTTAGAAGAACTCTCAACTTGTTCGCGAGAGAATGCGGAGCATGTTCCATAACTTTTCAGGAGTAAGTTTTCAGGCAATCGCTAATCTGTAACTGTTAACAGTACACATCAAAGTAACTAATTGCACATTAGACTCACAGTCCATCTAATGATGCACTAAAGGAGGCTTTTCTTGCTGAGATTGTCCGAAATTGAGGCCAGAAAGTAGCCAATATTCTGTGTGGAGCAGAGTTTAGGGCCAATAAGGTACCCACATAACACTAATTCGTGTAGTATAGTGTCCCAGGCTTCATTGTAGAATAGTTAAATGATTTCAGAAGCAATGTTTAAGAATACCCGTCCTGTATCTGGTTATCTTAGACGGACATGTAAAAATCAACATTTCCTCTTAATATCAAGTTATTGATATCTAAAAGCAAAAAGGCTGATGTATAACTGGTGGATTCGTGTAGTGTTTTTGAGTCTCATGATTTGATAGTTCTTTTATTCAAATTTCTGATTGTTTCTGAATAGACTCAGTGAAGACAGCTTCTAATGGAAATAAATATTTATTTATTTCCATTATTTATTTCCATATTTATTTCCATTAGAATCTGTCTTCACTGAGTCTATTCAGAAACAATCAGAAATTTGAATAAAAGAATTTGTATAACTACCATAAAATCATGGAGGTAGAAATTATCAAATTAATTCGGTTAACAAGAAAATGTATTTATAGGAAGACGCATCACTTAGCTTATTCGATCAAACAATCAGTCAGTTAAACGTTCGGTACATCAGGTGGTCAGATTTTCAGTTTTAGATCCAAATCAACGAAATAAGTAAATATCACAAGACTGAGTCCGCACGCTGATATACAGAGTCTCACGTCGCTATTCCATAGGTATGTGCGTGTACGTGTCTGATGGTGTCTTGTAAGAACAATCGATCTAAGAAGCCTTGCTCCTTCATAATCATTATCACATCATAACATTGATAGTGACACTACTCAGCAAGTTACTGATTGAGTTGGTATAGGATAAGTAGGAGCATTACACACCCTAAAAACTAAGGTACATTTACCATGTTATTACAAATTGCCTAAAATCAATCTTAGCCGGACTTTTTAGAATAGTCTGATAGGCATAAACTATTTGCAGCTCACTCCCTTCAAGTAGTTTACCCTGTTAAACTGACCATTGTACGTGATCCTGTATCTATAAGAGTTATATTTAGATTGAACAACTTGAAACTTTGTTAATATTTTAGGGATTTTGATAAATAAATAACAGTCGGTAAATAGATTTTGAGTAAATTATTATTAATAAAATTATTCGACAATCAAAAATCATGTTCCAAACGAGAAATCAGCAAGCAAAACTTTAAATTTGTGACCAGTAGATTAAGGTAGTTAGTGTTGGTGAAATAACCACGTGATGTCCTAACAAGGTCATAACCACAAGTACTGTTATTATGATTCGAATCTTTGCAAAAAGGACACTTCACTCTGATTACTGTTTCTATATTTTAACCGGTCACAAATTTTTTGATAAACTATAAAATTTACTGAGTCGCAAACATCCATCAAATTAAATAGAAAAATCAGATTTCAACAAAATGATATTACGATATGTTAAATTTTTCTAACAATCTGCGATCAACAAACAATCTTCTAGTGCTCCAAGGCCAAGGGTCAGAATGAAATTAACAACTTGACTATAAGAATCTCCTGTTATTCAAAGTTTGCATTTCAAGCTATAGATACTGTTATATCTTGTGCTCTCAATCAAATAATTGCAGAAACACGCTAGTACAACCATCAGTCATTCCTTGCCAACAAGTAAAGATATTTCTAATGAAGCACTATCTCCAAAAAGTCAATTTATTAAATAGTCCGCACTACACATTTTATTAATAATTGATTTATTGGAACTCTATTTCATCAATCTACCACACATCTCACGACTACTACAATAATTTATAACTCCAACATACTGGCCAAAGAACCACAAAACCACACAAATAACACTGTATATTAATTTTTCGGACAATATCTTTGGTGATAGCAATTATGTAAAACTCTACAAAATATAAAATTTTCAAACTGGTAGGCACAGTAGAGTGAGACAGGTCTCTTCTAAAGTATGACAGTTTAGTCCAATGTTTCGTACATTTTTTCGATGCTCTCCGCGTAATGCTTGGCGATGTTGTGTCTCTTTAGCTTGAAGGTTGGGGTCATGAGGTCGTTATCCACGGAGAAGGGGATGTAGTCCAGGTAGAGTTTCTTAGCAAGTTCAAAGGACCGCAGACCCCCGTCTCTTCCAAGCTTCGTTACCTGTAAACACAAAATCATGTCAATTAATACAATTTTAGAATTCAAAAATCACGTGTTATCTGGAAAGGCCTTGATTAAACTTTTAATGATGTCATAAAAAGTTCAGAGGCATTCAGAGTTTCGAAATTGTTAAATAAACCACATAATACCTCTGTGAGGATATCTTTCCTGAACTCTTTATTTTTGACGAGATTCTCCATGGCCGTATCTTCGACCCCGTTCTCCCTGGCCCACTTCTTGCCAGCCACCTCATCAGGAATGACAAGTGCTATCAGGTTGTTCTTAGTGGACTGACCGTACACGCACACCTGCCCACAGAAGACCATTGTTTAGTAAACGTGTAAAATTGCACATCTACCTGGTGACGTCACATCTACCTGATGACGTCACATCTACCTGGTGACGTCACATCTACCTGGTGACGTCACATCTACCTGGTGACGTCACATCTACCTGGTGACGTCACATCTACCTGGTGACGTTGGAAGTTTATCCAAATTTGTGTTGTTTGCGGGGATTGTCCAGCTGGCGATAAAATTGATGTAAAATCAGGCTGTTGTTCCTTAGCGGCCTGTTACTTTCCTGCCCTTTGGGTACTAACGTTTCTTTAATTGTCCATTTGTATCTAGATTTGTTTTATTTAAAATAATTGTTTTATTTAAGAATTAAAAACAAACATAAGTAGCCTGTAACTCTGTAACGGATCGGAACTATGTTAACATAGCCAGAAGAGCAGTTAAAGTGTTGATACAGATAACTAAACATAACAAAACACATTTCTGCTATCAAATACTTCTCCGAGAAAATAAATCAGATTATCAGTATTCAATGCCAGGCTGCTCTATCAAAGGAAACATTTCTTTGATTATTTAAAGTCATTAATGTGACAAAGAAACATATTTCGATCATTTAAATCTTAAAAGGTTGAGCTATTAAAACGCATGCGAGGATTTAAGCATAAGTTCTGAGTAAATCTTAATTTGCAGTATTTGACGTCAACAATACTTTATTCTTTGCAGTTTGCATTGCTTACAAATTTGTCCAAACTCAAATTATTCAAGAATTTCTTTAATACTGAGTTGTCATCATGAGACTTCCTTTGGAATGTTCAAATTGCGTAAATTTTCTGCATTAATAACTATAATTTATTTTCACACAAAATTGAAACATATATCACAATTATATACTTAATGCTATACTACTACTGATTTGGAATGTGGGCGTAATTTACAATTTTTAATTTAAAGTCACACGTAAAAGCAAATTTACAAGACCAACCAGCCACCATCTATATTATATCAACTATAATTATTGATTAAATGATTTATAACTTACATAAGGGCCGGGGTTGTTCACATATAACGCTATCACTTTTTGGCTATTGTTTAACCCCTTAATTAATGCCACTGAAATTGATAAATGATATAAATTATAAGTAACACAAAATGACTGTCCTTCCGTTTTACTCTAAATCATATATCTGAAGTACTTTTTCCTTCTAATGACCACGTCCTTTCCAGTTAAGCAGATCTTCTTGTCCCCTGTCTCCACCAGGAGAAACGACCCTGCCGCACACAGAACTGAGAGGAAAGCTAGACCTCCAAGAGGAACAGATTTGTAAGTGACTGGAGCCAGGTTATTGAAAATGTAGGGTCCGAGAAATGAGCCGATTCTGGAGGCGCTGGAGCAGGCACAGACGACAAAGCCCCGATGAGAGGTTGGCGCTAGTTCACCTGTCCAAAGACAAACTCCACTGAAACAGCCTGATACAAAGATATACCCGATCAAACAGGATACCATCTCTAGAGTCCACTGTCCTCCTAAGCCCACCTCAGGTATCGCTAACAAATAAAAGAATCCAGCCCCCAGGAACCCAGTCATCATAGCACGTCGCCTCCCCAGATGGGCGATAAGGGGAACTGAGACAACCGCACTCAGCAGCTCCCCAACTCCCGCCAGTAAGTAACCCTGGTACAGGTTTGGGAGTATTGCCGCCCAACCAAAGTTAAAACTGAAGAAGAACAACCCTCCACAGAACCAGAGAAACATCATAACCAGGGTCTCGCAGAGCAGGGTGGGATTGTCCCTCAGGTCCATCAACTGTTGTTTCAGCGTCTGCTCCCTCATTTTGTCCGTAACGCTTAGGAGGTCCTCCAATCCCACCTTATCAAACTCAAAATCCGAAGTAGTGAGCGATGCCAGAGCTTTGAGGGACCGCCTGGCTGACTTGAAATCTTTGTTTATAAGATAGAACCTTGGTGACTCGATGCAGGTGAAAACGGGAGCACTAAATATTGCCACAAGAACAGAAGCTCCTAGGAAATTGAAATTCCAGTCCGGTATAAAATAATGCAAACCAGTAGCTATAGGAAATCCGAAAGCAAGACATACGCCGAAAAATCCCAGGATGTAGTTCCTAAATGTGGCGGGGGTTAGTTCTAGGGACAGTATAATCATGCCCGTAGATAAGAGAATGTCGCCAATGCCTTGAAAATATCTTATAGCCAAGAGAAATCCGTAATTGTGGCACAAGGTCCCGCAGAAGACAGCTGAAGCTAAGACTATATAACCAAAGGTGGCTGTTTTTTTTCTCCCGATATGATCGAACATGAATCCTCCCAAAAAGAGACCGGTTAAAGCACCGGCAAAAAATATTGAGGATACCAGAGTTTTCTTAGTCCGTGTGTTCCCGACATTACAGTACAAATCAAACTCTACCGAAAACGAAGTTCTGTTCAAATCCCACTCAATGTCCGCGTTTTGGAGCAGAAGTTTCTGAGTCCCGTCCTTCTCCTCAGATGTGAAGCAAGGTAACATCTCGCTGAGCGAGGAGTTCTCCTTTACCAAGTCCTCGCACCTCTGAGATGCACAGGTCCAGGAGTGACCAGGGCTCGGATCCATCCCTGCAAATACAGAAATGTAGAGGTGAGAGGGTTTTGCCAGCCACATGAAGTTTAGAGATAGGAGGAGAATTGTGTACTTCCATGTCCGCCCTCGGATCAGTTTCTCTACCAGATCGTCCATAGTGAGGCGGTCGTCTTCATCGGTGATAAAACTACTCGTATCATTGGTGAGTTGGTCGAGATCTGCTGTATTCGTCTCCATGGATGAATCACAGCAAGAAATTTCGATTTAAAGCGCCGGAAACGTTACACTAACAACACTACAAATCTATGTAACGGGTTGGAAATATTTCAACCCGGACTGCATCTCATTTTTCAACGAAAATTACAAAGAGAGATATCTAAGAAAGTCCACACGACAGAAAGTAAACAGGCCCCGGACTCCCACTGTCCTTTATTTCACATCCTAGTTCATCTAATTCTATCACATTTTTCATCATATTGAAGGCACCGACAGTTAAACGTTGGTGACGGACTCTTGATATGAGATCGTACATCATGGCGTTATGTGGCTCTTCAAACGTTATCAGTTTAAAACTGTTTAATTTAATCGGTGTTATATAATACCGTTACAAAGTCCTTGTGAATGTTTTTCTCACCCTATGGCTACCCCGTGTCCCCGCTCTCTAAATATACCTGGAGGAGTATTCAGCTGTTGCCTGGGTGACAGCTGTGGCAGACTGGAAACATGATGATTGTTTTGTAAGCAGTATAAATATAGACTTCTCCCTTACCTCTTACACCTTCATACCTAACTTTGTATTACGTCATCAGTATTACGTCATCAGTATTTAGCTTGGTTATAATCTCCCACACTTACGCATCATCAACACATTCAACAGATATCCTTGTTTTTTTACTGATCGTGCAAGTGACCAAGTCAATAAGGCAAGCCTAATATTGACAACAGTAACAGTAACAGTAACAGTAACAGTAACAGTAACAGTAACAGTACCTGTGAAACTAGAGGACACCTCTCGTACAGAAGCTCTATCTTCTCCGGTGCAACATACTCCCCCTGAGATAACTTGAAAATGTTCTTCTTCCGGTCGATTATCCGGAGTCCCCCATCTCGGTCATGAGTCCGATATCGCCCGTGTGCAGCCAGCCATCTTCGTCCAGAGTCTCTGCTGTTTTCTCAGGGTTTTTGAAATAGTGGGAGAACAAGCCCGATCCTTTAAGGCACACCTCACCTGATAAGAAATATTATTCGTTATCTTATAAGCTTAGTTTTAACAGATATCTAAGTCTAGATTAAAATATATCAACATGAACGGATACTAGTCGCTGGGATGGCATGCATACAAATATTATGGCTCGTGTCCAGGACAAATTACTCGAGTCAGATTGTTTATTGTATGTTGTGTCGTCAGCCAGATGGGTTAAATTCCATTAAGTGAAATTTAGAGAGTATGTAGATCTGAGTTGTCTGACAAACTAGAACCTAATACCTCAAACCTTTACCTCTTCTTTACCACTTCATAAGCTGGAGGTAAAAAACTTTGTACACAGCTTTTCATAAAAATAGTCACAACAAACACCTGTTTATCTAAAATGTAGTATGTACGTGCAGCGTGACTTCCAATATTTATACAATGTACTAGAGATTATACAGATCATTGATAGAATCTTTTGATCATTACAAGAGCTCAGATACATCATTACACGACTGACGCTGAAGAAATGAGAAAGTATAATTGCAATTGTTTGCACGGGAGAATTTTAATTATTGAGAGCCCCAAAATAAACGAGAACTATCGTTCTTAATAATTGCAATAAACTTTGCTGCCAATTTCTAAAATAACATTACAATTAATATACCGTTGGGGAGGTGAACTACACCCATTATGAAGTTCTCTTGACAATCTACTACGGCATTTCAATTTTGAAGTTTTCAGATTAATTTAATGACTTTTCTTTATTTAAAGTAAGATAAAACACAAGTTGAAAACACTGTAATAATTTACACTATTATACAGGTGTCGTTAGTATCACGGCTCAGCTTGTTATAAAACTAATTTTACCTGACAGTTTGAGTCTAGAGGTACTTGACCACAGTTATACACGGTTATTACGGTTATGTAGTATGTACCGTACAAAACAATTCCTTAATTAACAGTAACATGCCGCCCAAACCTTTATTGTTCTCTGTATTGTATCCCATGTCAGGTACAGACTCAAGTTTCAAGATGGTGTTGGATACAACTCCTCCGATACAACTGCCACTGTAATCTCCTGGTATCGATACAACAGCACACCCACAACTCTCTGTCTGTCCGTAACCCTGGGGATCCCGGTGTCATGGTTACCAGTGTCATCGTTACCATTGTCATGGTTACCAGTGTCATGGTTATTATATGTTCGCGAACAACTTGAAATTTATTTTTGTAGACAATGAAATTCCTTTCTGAGTGTAGAGCAGGTGTGGATTGAGAGTAAGCCGTACTATTTTTTATAAAACGGCAAATTTTAAACTTTTACCTCGAGAACGACAGCACCTAGAGCTGCCCTGAAGAATTGCAGAACTTCGTATTTGAAGGGAGCTGCTCCACAAGGCATCAGTCTAACACGCCCTCCAAGCATCTTCTGTACCTGAGGAGGTAAATGTTCATGTTTTGGTTTGAAGAGAAAACATTAACTATTTTAAATCACCATTAATGCTAAGCATGAAATATACGTCATGCAAAGAACCTCAATATTTACCTTTCCAAAGATGACATAATCCCAGAAACTGTTGTTTCTGATAACTCCAGTTTCAACCTCAGCAGTCTTCGTTCCGAGAGCCCAGTTGAACAGGTAACTTTTCACTGCACTTGCTTTCACCTGAGAAACATATATGAATCCTTTACAGCTGAGCAAGGTTTTGATGGCACTACTTTGCAAGGAAGGAATAATAGAACGGCACCAACTAAATTCTGGTAAGGGGCCATCTACTTAGGACGTCCGCCAAAATCGCAGATTTTCAGACCATCCCCCCTCCCCCTGTCCGGGTGTGTCTGAATTTTCAAAACCACCCCCCCCCCCCCTCCCCTGGACGTCCGGATTTCCAGCTACTTTTAAGAGTACAAATAAAACCAACTCAAATTCATTGTTAATAGAATTCAAAGAGTTGAAATAAAATTGAAAGAGTTGAAATATATGGGACTTTTTCGTAAATTCTGCCAAAATTTCCGGACGTCCGGATTTTCAGAAACCCCCCCCTCCCCCTGTCCGGATTTGTCCGAAATTCCAAAACCACCCCCCTCCATATTTGCCGGACGTCCTAAGTAGATGGCCCCTAATTTGAATTGTACGTTCATTGTATGAAAGTATTTGCAATGATATAACTAGTGGTAGATTTTTCCCAAATCAAACAATATGAACATTTAATTAAAGGTGTCTACAAAGTAGCTTAATACCTACGATCCAGAGTGCTAAGGAAAAATGAACAGGTTAGTTTCTGGACGACTTAATAACATTAACAAGATTTGATTTCCAGGTCCTGAAATTTCGGGGAAATTTTGAACTGGTGTGGTACCCACGAACTATAAAGTTTTATATTTTTATAGTCAACGCACAAACCTCCGACATGATCTTGTCATATATCCGGTTAATGATCCTGGGAACAGCTGCAAATATTGTAGGTTTCAGTTCCATCATGTCTCCGCTCAGTTTCCTGACGTCCCCCTGCCAGAACCCTATCCGCGCTCCTGCTTTCAGGATGCAATACTGGGGTAAATAAGGGGGTCAGGATTTATATTTCATTGTCCATTTACGTCTTCGAAAAAAATATAATAACGATCCAAATTGTGTGTAAGTTATGAAATATGTAAATAATTATTTATAATTCAGTATAATCTGAATATAATGCGGCACTGCTGCAGCCAATGTTGCGGCACAGTAATATAATGTAGATTGGAACCTAGTTCTCCTGTGATTCTTGCGTACTTCCCAGGAAATCTGAATCTGTAATTCGTTAGAATGACCTCCCCCCTCCCCCTAAGTTAGTGAAGCATGATAAACCGTACCTGCACTGGCCAATTTCTGAACTTCCAGTCATTTCTACGATTTCACACGTGCCGAGAGCCGAAGGAACTTTTTTACCGTTATAGAACAATGAAATTGCTCAGGAATTTCATTGTTTTACTTTCCTGGACAAATTATAATTTTGCAATACCGTGCTTTTTGGTACAAACTACAAGTCAAATACCAGTACTACTATAATTACATATTGTAACTTCATGACAAAAATAGCTGACATACTGAATAAGAGTCTTGCTGCTATGCCTACTTTTGAGGAACTAAAATAGTTATCCTTCACTTCTATTAAACTTTTAATGAACTTACGTTCTGAGCTATTTTTGGAAGTTTCAATTTTCTGCTACATGTTCTGATCACAGTCGTGACTCAGGCCACAAGATAATGTGTTTAAATGCCGCAAATGCTGACAAATCCTTTTCTTACACGGCGTTGAATTATCGTCGGATGTAATTTCAGCCAACTTTTTATAACGGTCACACAATCTACATTCAACGTAATCGCCATCATATTATCATAGTATTAGTGCAATTCGAACGGTCGAACATGTTCTCCATAAAATCTTCACTCTCGCCGGAATTGTTTGGAAGTGATCCACTTGGTAGTGGTGATGTGTCATATTCTAGCACGGTCATGACACACTTCCCAGTTATCAGGTCATGTTCACACGTTCACCTTCAACTTCAAATTCGAACCTCTACTTCTTATCTTAGGTGTGACTCCATTTTATCTGCTTTATACTTAAAGACGACTGCTGATAATTTACCGTTGTGCGTGCACGCCATTCTAGCTTTCTAGGGATTCTAGACTTTTGAATATGACGTGAATTGTGAATTGAGACACGAAAGGAAAGTTGATATGAGCGTGAACAACAGGGAAATATTGGGCGTTTCGTGGGGTTTTATGTATCATTTGGTAATTTTTGCCAATTAGACTCGGATTTCATGACTAGATTCTTGAGAATTCAGACAGCTGATACTGGATTTACTGTCGTAAGTTTCCAATCTTGTTTAATTGATTCCGAAAACTCGCCTCATGTATAAAATTCGTTATTGATATAATATTTATTTAATAATCTTGACAGGATAAATCCTCCAGACTGACAATGAAACTTCAAGATTCCGGTACATTAATGCTAGTTGCTACCTTTCAGAAATCATTCAAAGTGCACTAAAATGCTTCATATAAATCACAGTTTTGCATGCGACTGTCAAAAAAGCCACAATTATTCACTTGACTGATTATATTAGATACCAACGTTAAAAAAACATAAAACTTTATACTTACGCTGTCACTAACAATACCAAATAACAGGGTAGGGAAAGATGCGAAGTGGATTAAAAGTGTGCCATGCCAATACAGCTACCTGCTACACCACACACAAAATAAAAATAAGAACAAAAAAGTAGTACCTGACATCCACGCTCAAAAGCGTGCGCCAGCGGCAAATAAGAAATGGCGCAATCTGCCGGCTCAAAGGTCTCACTTGGACCCAAGATATCCCCAACGGCTTCAACCGTCGTTGTCATTGCATACGTAGAGATCATCACCCCTTTTGGGTTTCCTGCACAGAAAAGGTAGACGATCGTATAGGAGTAAAAACAAATGCTGGAGTTTTATTTAATTGTTACCTGAAGTTCTCGTTCGAAGACATGACTAGCGGGCAGGTAAGAGATGTTGACATCCTCGGGTACAAAGCTAGTCTCGTTCAACATTATGGAAACAGCATAGGTTGTGCTGGCCATAGCACCATTGGACAGCATGGCACCTTTTGGTAGACCTAGGGGCATCGTCAACCAGTCTTTCTAATTTTTATTTATTCAGACATGGCAATTGTATCGTTAATTTCAAAATCATCCCAACGAATATGTGTGCTGTCATGCGACGATCAGAGATGCCATGGATGTTCCTAATCCTACGAGCAACTTCATGCAGCAGGCCCTGTTACATACTGCACAACATTTAATAGACTTATAGTGGTCCGCTCAAGCCCGGGGTATTCTAGATAAACATTTCAACCACCACCAAGAACATGCGCACATTTACAAATCATGATGGAATGCAATCACTCGGTAAAATCATAGAACACAGGCCTTGACACAGAGCTGAGTACGAAAACTGACCAGTTGTGCCGCTGGTGTAACAGATGGTGGCTATGTCCTCTGGTTGAGGTGGATTGTGTGGGACAGGGTTCGCTTCCCCCTCTGCGTACAAGTCCTTGTAAGTCATCACTGTTACGCCGTGTTTACCCGCTTTTTCCTTTTCCTCGTCCGTTACGTCGCTGCCGATTTTCACGATCGTTTTTATGTGGGGTGACTGAAGGAACCTTGTGATTACACAATGAAATACATTTTAAGAACTACCACGACCGTACCGGTCTATATGATTATTAAGAATTTAAATAAATAACTCCGATCTAAGGAAGGTTGTACAGTACACTCCAGTACACAATGAAAATGTTGGGTAAAGCTCTTACCGTGGGCAGATATCCGATATAAGTACTGATAGTCTTCTCAGACACGAACAATATTGTTAGTTCAGTCTGATTCAAGCAGAACTTAACAGCTTCCTCTCCTAAAGTGTCGTAGAGCGGACACAGGATGAAACTCTGAGATTTATTTGTTGTAGGGATCCAGGATAACAGTTTCATTCGGGAAAATATTTAAATCTTGCAAAGAACCTAATAGAAAATTGAATTTTTAGCAAACATTCAACTCGTTGGAAAGAAGCATTTAATGGAAAAACCTGAGCATCACAGGCGATAGAGAGGGTGCTCCACTCATGACTATTATGTGAACTGATCCCAATAAACTCAGCCTTCTTCACCCCTCTGTGTGCCAGACCAGAACCAATGTTGTCAGCATTCTGTGATACTTCACTGTAAGTCAACCAGAAGTAAGGTCCATCTGGGGTAGGTCTGTAGCCCATGCAGGGCTGGTCCATGCTGATGCTCAGTCCGCGCTGGAATATCTGGTACAAAGTTTTACATCTGTCCGGTTTACTGTTGAACATTTCCCCTTCCGGACATCTGATGCTGCACCATTGTCGCTCACCAGCTGGTGTACGATCCGGCAAGAGCCGTGAGACCTGATCCGGCATTACCTACTCCGTGGTATAGAGATTAGAGGGTTACATTTCATTGAGAGAGTAAGGGTGTTACATGTTGAAATTCAGCAGAATGCATAGGTATGTAATTGAATCGATTCTGTTGATTTGATAAACATTTGCCCAGTTGTTGAATTCAAGTTTGCTGAAGTTCCAACGCAATGGTTAATGAGATCAATTGAAATCTACTCTTTTATTATATATCATTAATATTATTAATGTAGATGTATGCAGATGAAGTAGGAAACATTTGTAAATGGTCAGGAGAAGCAATGTTTAAAAGTTGAATGAGTTAAATGAGTGCATAATGCATATAATATAGTATATAATATGATAAATATATTATATTATATTATATATAATATATATATTAATGTATTTTGTATGGTGAAAAGCACAGAATTTATTCGTCTAGGTCATATAACATTGTATACTAATCTTCATCTTAATAAAAACTTGATGGTTAATGTGATGTAAGCTACAGAAATACAACAAATCGAAATAATAATCCAGTTGAATTCGGTTAGTTCACATAATATAATTCTTCCCAATACGAGATGAGAAAAACTTGAATGAAACGAGATAAAGCTTGGTAAAAACATCAAAACTTCAATTTCAAAATTCAAATATATAAAAGCCAACTGCATTGCCTATCAATGTAAAAATAGATACCTAAATTAACCTTAAGATTTTGTTCTCTTTGACCTTGTTCTCGGTAAAACCTTAGTAAGATTGCCATCGAGATCAATGATTACCTCACAATTCGTACCATTTGTATCAACAGGTCGTTTTTCTGGTTTATTTTTCTGGTTTACGTTTTTATTCTTGTTTTTGTTGTTGACAGTCATTTTGTTAGGCTTGACATCTTTTTTGGAGCTATTCTTGAGAGTAACTTCTTTAGATTTAACATCTGTTTTGGAGTCGTTCTCTAGGACAACTTTTTTAGGTTTGACATCTTTTTTAGAGTTGGAGTAAAAGAGATATCCTTGAGCCCAGCCAGCAAACAGTCCGTGTTTTGTTTGGAAGAACTTCTCGATAGAGTTATGTAGTGCTGGTGTTAGAGATTTATTTGGTCTTCCATAGTACTTAACAGCGACCTGAAGTAAAAACTATGATCAGGCTCAAACAACTAAGCTTTTGAGATATCACATTGTGTAGGTCAATAAATAAACAATATTACAATCAAAAGGTGACAGAATAATCAGCAGATCGTATAACTTCAAATTGAGAAAATGTCCGTACTTGATAAATGTGGGTATCAATGGGGACGGCATCGTGTTTATCAAGGGACATCAAACACACACAAGAAGCAACTTTAGGGCCCACTCCAGCAAGTTCGCTCAACTCTTTCCGAGCTTCACTCAACTCCACATGCCTCAGAGATTCCAGCCATTCCAATCCTCCTCGTCCTGAAACATCGCACATTGCTGAAACCAGGTATTTTGCACGATAGCCGAACCCTAGCGCCCGCAATTTCTGCTCAGTGTTTGGTTTCTGGAAAATAGTGATATCGGGGAGGCTATGAAACTGAGTGTCATTAATTGTGACACTATGCTGGGAAAGCTGAGAGAGTTTAAGCATGAGGGAAGATATTCTGGGAATGTTGTTGCAGGAGGACGTTATAAAGGCCAGTAAACACTCGTAAGGGTCCTGCCTGATAAGTCTGAGGCCCTGGTGTGATGTGAGGAGCGAGCTGAGGTGTTTGTCTGATGATATCCATGGTTTGGTTATCTCTGATAGTTTGTGGTTGAGGTTGAAGTATTCAAACAACTCGTCAACTGGCTTCACATTTACATTTTCCTTTTCATTTTCTTCATACACAAGATGGAATGTGTAATGAATTCCAGACATGTCCTGTCGTAGAACCCATACTTTGTTTCTGATAACACCAAACCAAGTGTCCTCAAACTTCCGCCATCTGAAAACTTGGCCTGTTGCCAGAATTTTGTCCAAATTGATTTCGCTTGATTCAACAGAAAAGTGACTCTGTAGCTCTTGACATGTATAATTTCTCATATTATGTAACGATTTTCTCAGCGTCAGCAACGTTCCACGTAATGCAATGATTGGCACTTTTAACTTACAAACGCGTTGTGTAGTTAAATCATCAGAAGATACTGGGTAAGTTCAGTTCTCAGGATATTAACACCTGGAAAGTAGACTGATAACACGGTGAGCAGATAATTAATTAAACCTCTCTTAGCATGGAAATAGGGAGATATTATATGACACTTGTACAAATGTACACCATATGATATACTTGATTCATTAAACGCCTAGGTTTAACATACATCGTGATTGGAGCTTGTCAATACATTGACAATTGAATTTTGCTCATGAAAATAACAAGTCTGTTACCGTACTTTTAGTTTTTAAAACTATTTGTTTTTGAAAATATTCACAATAACTTAAAATAAAAAACATACATTTAATTGTGAAAACTTCTAGAACTAAAAGGCGGATTCTCATAATCTTCGTGTCTATTATCATCTTAAATACCTTGTTCTCGTAATAAAGCATACAAATCTCCCAAGATAATATAAACATTGTCTCAACTTGTACATACATGATACATACTCAATAAATTATTTCTCTCTTCTTTAACTCTGCTACCACGCCTAACACTAAACAGTATCAGTTACCCAGATTCAGTAATCTATATAACTACAAATTATAGAGCTCCTCATGACTCCTTCTCTTCGTATTTCTTGAACTGTTCCATGATCAGCGCCTCCTTTTTCTCCAGAGCCTTCCTGTACGCCTCCCTCTGTCTCATCGCTCTCTCGTCCTTAAAATGGGAACCCAGATGTCTGCCAATCGTATGGTTATAATACTCTTTAACACCGTCCCGGGGGTTCTGTAGCACGTGCAACATGCCCTGTCCCTTCAACATCATATAACCAGTGAAAACACAGACAAAGGTGATGGTGGCCGGTAGAGCTATCTTCTTTGCAAAAAAGGCTTTCCTCATCTGTTTCCTGTCCCAAATATGGTAGAACTTCTTTCCTTCTTTGTAGTAGGTCTCTGCAACTTCGCCTCGCCATCTGATGACCGGGGGACGACCTGTTAGGTACAATTCTCTGAAGGTATAACCCATCCTACTGTGGTCAGATTAGTTAGACTGTACTTGATTCATGATAAAACGGGAATGTTTAGCAATCTGATTAATAGTAATACGACAAGAACAATAATCAACAGTTTTATCATCAGTCAACAAACGAATATTCGATACCTTTAATTTTAGGTTCAAGAACTCTGAATCAGGTTAGAAACTAAAAACTTATTAAGATATGGAAAATAAATTAGATTTGTCACATTAATATAATCTTTAAAATTAAACTACCTCCTAATTTACATAAAACGATCTAAGACTAACTAACATAGACATTTGTAAAAATCATATAAACAAAGAGCTCTGAAAAGTGTTTAACTTAAATCACTCGAATGGGCACCAGGGGTCGCCCGTTTCCACGTAAACAGATTTAGTTTGGGAATAATAATTGAAACATTCCTCGCCCAGTTCCCGACCAATCCCACTGTTCTTGTATCCCCCGAAAGGTATTACTGTAGGGAAATTGTTGAATGTGTTGATGTTGCAAGAGCCGGCTTCTAGTTTAGATGTTACTCGATAGGCTCGAGATAAATTCCTGAAATTAACGATGTTTACTGCCTTCAGTTACTCAAAGAGTTCTCTTATTGATATGTTAGTGGATGCAACGTGAACGGTTAAAATTGTTCTGAAATTAGTGGCCATCTTGTTGTCTTGACTGTTTGAAAAGGAGGTAGTAATATAGAAATACTTAAAATGAAACTTACTGAGTGCAAACTCCAGCAGCCAGTCCGAAAGGAGTATCATTAGCTCTCTTTATAACCTCCTCCTCCGTGTCAAACACTAAGATACTGAGAACCTGGTCCGAACACTTCCTCCTTTACCACTGTCATGTCGTCTGTACAGTTTCCCAGAACTGTTGGGGCAATGTAGAAACCTCCCTGAGAAACGGCGATTTCTTGTAAACGGGGTTAAATGGGACCGTATCAAGGGGAGGGGGGGGGGGGGGTATTTAGGCAAAGTTACTTTTTTATTGAACGGTCTTAAAATGAGTTTGATGATAAGATAACAACTTTAAACAAAAGTTGCAAGTGTACTGTGTACTTGTGTAGGGCGGTAAGGTAAGGAGAGACTACGGGAAATCGAATTAAGTGGCCCGCATGAATTTCTATTGAATAAACACGCGGTATACCCAGTGATAACTTACAATATATCTTAAGAAACCATGGAGATTGGGGATGTTTATAAAGTATACTCTCATGTAATTCTTATGAAAACGTAGTTGAGATATATCATAAATCCTAAAATGTCTGAAAGAGCCTAATTAATGCTAGAAGAGTAACTCACAGCAAGGTCAGGATCATCAAGGGTCACTGCTCCACCCCCACATAACACCTCACAACCTTCCTCTCTCGCTATATCCAGATACTTCAGGATCTTATCATACTGCATCTTGCAGATCGTGGCTCCCACTTTAACGTCCTCCTGCATCGGGTTACCGATCTTCAGTTTCTTGGTTCGTTCTACAAGTTGAGATGTGAACTCTTCCAAGATGGATCTCTGAACAAACACACGTGTACCGTTTGAGCAAACCTGCGACGATGAAGTATTGATTTTTAAATGATCATGACAGGATTATTTTCTATAAGGCAATGCAAATATCACCATTTTGTGTAATACTAAGATTTATGCACGATATAGGATCAGAATAAAAGAAATAGAAAAATGTGCACAGAAAAATATTTTCTTTAGTCCAAGTCTGTAAAATTCTCAATATTAACGTCACTCTGGCCCCTCCCATACTAAAAATAAAATCTGTTTTTACGATCACTCACCGCCCCTTGGGAGAAAAAGTTAGCAAGCATGGCAGTAGATACCGCATTCTTCATATCCACATCATCAAAGATAATAAGAGGTGATTTGCCACCGAGTTCCAGGGTTACTTTCTTAAGACTATCCGAAGCTTTGGACATTATCTGAAACGGAAACAGTGGGTTTAGCCTGCCAAATTTATATCTTCCTGTCATTCTACACTAAAATTCAAATTGTTAATATGACCGATGACCATTACATCAAGATTATATTCAACTCATAGGAAACACAAGGAATTTACTAAGAAATATCACAGATTAGAATATTACCCGTTTGCCAGTAGGGACGGATCCAGTGAAGCTGAGTTTGGAGATGTTTGGGTGGGCGGTAATGGCGGCTCCCACTGAGCCCTCACCAGCCACAATGTTCACCACACCGGCAGGAAGCCCAGCCTCTTTTAGCAGTGCTGCAAAAGCTACTGTCGAGAGAGGAGTGTACTCAGAACACTGACGTGGTTGAATTTATTAATTTAAGATTAGCACATTTTTTTCAGTTCAATTCATTATAGCCCAAAATGTTTAATTCAGCCAATAAGTACTACACACCTTGTAAACGAGAGAATTTCCACAGGCTAAAGCAGGAGCAATCTTCCAGCACGCCGTTTGTAGAGGATAATTCCAAGGTCCTATCCCTCCGATAACACCAAGGGGTTCCCTAGATGTGTATGCAAAGTTTCCCCCTAAATCAAAGTGATTGCCATGATAGTTCTGAACTAAGCCTCCAATGAATCTCAGGGCATCAACCCCTGTACCAACGTCCATCTCTGATTCATAGAAAGGTTTTCCTGTGTCCAGTGTTTCGAGGTGAGCGAACTCTATCGTCCTCTCTTCAAGTAGCGTAGCTGAAATAATGGAGCTGAGCAAATGAATTAACGTAATTGAAAGGTGTTATTACATGCTGATGCACCCATAGGTCCCATACTTCTTTAATAGAGTGGACCTAAAGTGAGGTTATCAGCATCTAAATTCAAATGCTCTGGTTATGAATTGATGGAAAGGTGAGGCTATTTGAAACTAAAAAGATTACCCAAATTAGATATTTTATTATGCCATAAAATAATACTAAAAGAAAAACGGTGTATAGCAGCATGTGGTATACCGTATAATTACTGAAAGCATATGCTTGCCTTAAATTTAACCAAGCTTTTAAAGGTGATTCTTAGCTTAAATGTGGAGATATTTTGAATGGAAAATCTGGGGGAAGGAATAACCTGTGGTATATCATGGTTTGTGGTAAATGGTTTATACACGTAATAAGACTAGCTCAACGCCTCTACACGTGCAACAAAATTGAGGAGTGTCAGGGTGACAGTAAAAAAACCTGGCAGTTAATTAATAAAGTGCGAGGAAAGCAAAATAAGCAAATGAAACCGTCATTCATGATAAACAATGAGCGTGTTATTTGTCGACGAGTTATTGCTCATGAATTTAACAAGTACTTTGTGTCAATCGCCTCCAATCTGAACGAGGTCTATGAGAGGAGGATTGATGAAGATTGAAGATCCTATAATTGCTAAATCATTCACTGACTACTTGCCACAGTCCTGTCCGTCAAGTATTTATCTTGCTGAATGTACAAGCTCTGAAATAATACAAATTATAAGTGAATTTAATAACGGTAAAGCTAGCGACATACCGGCACATGTAATGAAGCAGTGTAGTCAAACTATATCAGAACATCTTGCCAGAATTTATAACAACTGCATGAATGAAGGTGTCTTCCCTGATCAACTGAAAACGGGTAAGATAACCCCGATATATAAAAAAGAAGATGAGGAATTACTAGAGAATTACAGGCCAGTATCAACATTACCAGTATTTGGTAAAATATTTGAAAAAATTATTTACAGTAGATTATACAACTTTTTCTTATCTCGAGGAATAATATTCGAAAATCAGTTCGGCTTTAGAAAAAACCACTCGACAAGTCATGCTCTTAACTACTCCGTAAATCACGTCGAAGAAAAACGGAATAATAAAAACCACGTATTAGGAATATTTATCGATCTCTCTAAAGCATTTGATACCTTACCATTTGATATGCTACTTAAGAAACTTAGTAATTACGGAGTTAGAGGAAACGCACTAAAGCTGCTCTCCAGCTATCTAAATAATAGATACCAGTATGTTAGTGTACTTGGTGAAGAATCAGAGCCTCTCCCAGTTAAACTAGGCGTACCTCAAGGATCCGTTTTGGGCCCCTTGCTTTTTCTTATCTATATAAATGACATCTATAGATGTAGTACATTAGGAAAATTTGTACTATTTGCAGATGACACAAACATCTTTGTAGCTGCTGAAACTAAGGAACAAGCATACAAAATAGCGAATGAAATTCTCGACTCTGTGTGCCAATATATGCGCCATAACCTACTGCACATTAATGTTAAAAAATCTTGTTACATGTACTTCTCGCCTACTAAACGTAAGACCATTGATAATACTGAAAATGACTTGAATCTAGAAATTGATGGGATCCCGATCAAACAGGTTACTGAAACGAAATTTCTAGGTGTAATTATTGATGACAAACTGAGTTGGACACCTCATATCGAGAAACTAACTAAGAAATTAAACAGCATATGTGGCCGTATTTATCGAATAAAAAACTCCCTCCCCAGCCAGCTGTACAAACAGATATACCACACTCTTTTTGAATCTCATCTAGGATACGGTATAACTGTATGGGGTGGTGTATCAATTAATAAGCTTTCACCACTATTCCTTGCACAGAAGAAATGTGTCCGAATCTTATTTGGGGACTCGGAAGCATTTAGCGACAAGTTTAAAACTTGTTCTCGTAGCAGGCCAATCCAGTGCAGTATAAACAAGAAAGGTCAAATATCCAATGAATCAACTATACCTCACATTAAACCGTGTTCTATATGTATCAGCTTGAGGAAGACTGGTGATAAACAAGCAAGGCCACATCGCTGCCAAATACTTGGGGCAGAATTCCACTCTAGAGAATCAACAAAACCTATTTTCCAATCTAAGGAACTAATGACAGTACATAACATATATAGATACAGATGCATTACTGAAACAATGAAGATAGTGAAGAGTCATCAGCCCATATCCATGTATTCTCTCTTTAAGAAGTCTCAGCTCAGAGATGACAGATTTGTGACACCACACTCATCTCACAATTTCGCATATAAAGGGGCAAATTTATGGAATAGGTTTCTTGAGCAGTCAAATGCACGTGGTAAAATAGGTTCACTAGGTTCAATTAAATCCCGATTGAAGCTTTCTATCATGAAGGCTCAACACCAACCTGAAAATATTAACTGGCAGGACTTAAACTTCAACACTTTCCTATGAAAAGACCCCCATTTATATTTATATATTTTAGATTTTACACCTGTCACTCACATAATATATGCACCACAAAAGAAAAAAGATTCATTCAATCATTACATTATACACTCACTCCACCACACATGCACACAAAACATTAAAGCAGGTTACACGCGGGTGTAACGTTCACTTTATCCGAAGGGAAGAATAATACTTTACGTAACGCGCGATTTACGTCTTGGTAGCTAAATTATTCAAGTGCTATTTGTTAGAGCGACACAAATGCGCGAGCGCTTGCGCGGCTCACCTATCCAACACTCTTGTTTACATCGTATCAGGCAATGGTTCAGTTTAATTATGGTAAGGGCACAGCCTGTCAAAAACCCTTTTCGCATGATCCGTCGACACCGCCTGAAGGTGAATGCATAATAACGGATCATGAACGTACGGAATCAAACGTTAATAAGCTTGCAGCTTCCGATGAAAATGTATTCAACTTTGTGTCATGCTTGAATGTTGAATTGGTTTTGGACCTCTTCAATGCTTTTAATTTATTTATTATTGTTATTTGGTATTATGAGCTGATATGTATATATACATACGGTATCTAAAATTAAGCGTATAGCGAGCATATTTAACAATTTTTAAGCAATAATGTATTGCGAGCAGCTGTAACTTAAATATCGCATAAAAATCATATAATTATAACACAAAACTAAAATTTTATTGGAATCTAGGTTAAACTAAGATAAAATTAATATCAGCCCCTTCGCCACTCTCAGCAGTCAACCAGGGCTCATAAAAGCTTAACAGCGCCTGGGTCCGTTCACCAACTGTGCTAATGTGAGTGGCGGTGGGGTAAAACCCATTTTAACAGCGTGAATATTTCTCAAATATAAGCGCGCTAGCTGCTAGCATACTTGTATCATTTAATTTTTAATCAAATTTATTCGGATATATATTTATTGATTATGTATTGAATTGGTGATAAATAATAAAATTGTCTTTTCTATAGTACATCACTGATGTAGCTCCTGAATCTTTACCTGCCTTTAGGAGAAGTTGGCCTCGTTCTGCAGCAGGTATATCTCTGAAAGTCTGAAATGCTGCAAGGGCAGACTGTACTGCTGTGTCGACATCAGCATCACTAGCAGAGGCACTGGTCATGACTACATTTCCAGTGGCTTTGTTCACCACGTCAAGTCCTTTCCCTGAGCAAAATAATGATTAGAGTGTAAATAAATAAAAAGTATTTCCACCAGAAGCTTGCAAGCAAATTTATTTTCCTTGTCTCACAGAATGAAGTATATCATGGGTTAAATTCATCAGAACATTCAAAAAATGAGTTTGAATTACCTGATCCAACATAATAGTCGTTATCCACCCAATTCAGGGAAGGGGGCAGTAGTTCTACAGCACGGCTGAAGGATGAGCTCATTCTTTTAATCACACCAAGCCTCATACCATCTAAACAGTGTTAAGGTTAAGATGTCAGCCCCTAGCGGGATCTGAGTTTGTGCTGGCATGTAAAGGGCAATTGTGAATGTTGCAGCCAAATAGTAACAGCTGTTTGATGTGCAGAATAAATTAAGCGACGAAGATTAGATTATACATATCTGATGTCAATTTAATGATTTAATGCTATAAGTCCTATTGTATCTTTTTTCACGTTCAAAGCCACACAAAATGGAATTGTTAACAGGAAGTTTGTTGAAGAATTTTGTCTAAGATTACGTCGAGCACTTGCACAATACAAAATTCAATCATGCAAATTATACAATTATCAGAGAATAACCAATGCAGGGGTTAGTTACAGCCGTTGGCTCCTAGCCTGTCAATTTCTTCATTAAAATGAAGAAAAAAAAGAGGAAAGAAAAAATTTTTCTTTTTAGGAAAGAAAAAATTTTTATTTACCACAAAACAATCAATACATAATGTTATATTCATAAATAAATTCAAATTTCAATTTCAAACACATATACAGTACGCCGCGCACACAGCCACGATTTTCAATTGTTCAGAAATTCGTATTTCTGAAGCTGAAGAATTGAAGAAGAATTTTGAAAAAAAAAGAATCTTGAAAAAAAATTTCCCTCAATTATGTATAGTAGTACAGTAAATTAGCTAATAATCATAGTTTTAGCACCATAAGAAAAAGAATGATGGAAATGAAAACGTGACAGTTCGAGAAATTAATGATAAACATGCAAATTCGGTTAATTGGTATTAAGCAACCACTACAAGGTTATTTGTTGATTGTTGGCAACAGAACTGACTACATATTTGTGAAATAATAGAAGTTGGCGTGTAAACATAACGAGTATTAAATATAAATCAGGTCAGTACATAGTAAGGTCTGCTCGTTAAGCTAAGGTATTCGACATTCGTACCTTTCGTAATATGATATTAAAGGACATGTCAAGGAGTCGTCGGTCTCCGGACGGTAGCGCTCGATTTAAGAAATATATTATGTTGAGTGATCGTGGAAATATGCGCGGCGCGACTTTCAATTTATCGTGGAAATATGCGCGGCGCGTCTTTCAATTTAATAGTTTGAAACGTTTTACATTTAAACTTAACACCGAACATAATTGTTCGTGTGTAAATAATTTTGGTTTAATATTTAATTAAAATTGTAGGTTTATAAGCTGCAGACCTATAATTCCAACAATTGTCAAAAAGTTAACAATATTTGTTCCGTCGACGAGTCCAACTCGGCGCCCGTCCTAGTATGTGGTAGGTTGTTAACCTACAATCAAAAAAAGTGACAAAGTAATATTATATGTTATATATATATTTACTGGGCCGGCACGTGCAGAAGTGAAAACAAATACATAAAATACTAGCAATCCTTGAAATTTGCAATAAATAAATTCATTCAATGTCATACAATTTTTTGACCATTGTTAATGATTTGGCGTGGCGCGCGCTACTTAATATTTCGTAGCACTTGCTACACATCGGGCCATTTCGAGAAGAAATTGCGGCGCGCGCTACTTCGAAGAAATTTAGACGAGTAACATCCGTCAAACAATTTTTAAAACCACATATACGTGACCAGTAAATAATTTAATATATATGTAGTACATAATATAGCTGCATACAACAGATGTTGGGAAAATCTTTTTCAAGGGTACAGTTTACCACATTAAGGTATTTTTAAGAATCATTTTTGTCGGTAAGATCCTGTTTTATAATAATAATAATACTGTTGTAGCGCGCAATACAGTTACAGTTACACTATTTATATTAACTAGTGCATGCTAAGTGTTCATGTTAACTGGGCCGGACAGACAGGGCGCGCCGGGCCGCGCGCCCGCGCATCCAATGCAATAATTATAAATAATGCTTTTTACAATTTCGTTAGATCGAAATTGCCATTGGTGCTACCTCTCCTTGAGGCAGTGAGGACGGAGGAGGCCGGAGGCTGGAGGGTGTCGTAATTCCAAAGTTGGCAGGTATACGACAGCGCTACAAACATGTCGGATGACGCACCCTCAAAATCGGGAAGATTGCTAGTTATAATGTTTGAATCAACTAAAACAAAACTATCACGTTGCGACGCGAGGTGGAATTAACGGCGACCCCATGGCCATTTGCCATCCCCAGTCCCCACTACTCCACTAGTCATGCACTGTGTCCTCCGAGGAATTTATAATCTGATCAGCGATATAACAAAGAAAGCGAGCTAACTAGACGCGGACCAGCATGAAAAATCGATACGAATTAGAGGTAAAAAAGATAAATTGCTGTACTGATACGAATTAGGTAAAGGTAAATGGCTTTGATTCACGATGTCAATCCTTTGCATCTCGCCGATCTGCATACGATCACGAGGTTGCGAGATCAGAAAATGCGCGGCGCGACCCAGTAGTGCATCGCGTACAATAAATGGCTGTACTGATAGTGATACGAATTAAATAAGGTAAATTGCTGTAATGATACGAATTAGATGAGGCGCATGAGGTAAATGACTGTACTGATACTGGATACGAATTAGATAAGCCTAAGGTAAATAGGCTGTACTGATTGGCTGAATTGTGTCACGTGCTGCTTGAACTTAACTATTGCCATTGGAATGCGTCACGCGTGCAATCACCAATCACTGTATTTATATTAATGTCGCGCGCGATCAGCTCCAACTTGCTGTGCATGTGAAAAAAGAACATTTCTAACAAGCCCGCCAGCGCCCAGCCGTTAACTTTAAGGATTTCTGGATATCTTAATTTTTAACGCATGGCGTATTGTAAGGATCAATGGATCATATGCCTTTTAGCTCCCCAGTCGTAGTTGCAGGGTCGCTCCCCCAGTCGAGCAGACAGGCCGACAGGGTCGCTAAACTGAGCTTTAAGTGACGACGTGACGTTTAGTGACGCGATCAGCCCCCACTAACCACTTCTTGCCACATTAAATTTAATGATTGAAATAAACGTTGAACGTTAGGCCTAGGACTTTCATGCTCCAATTTCCTTTCGAATAAAGTTCGATAAAAAGTGTTTGTCAAAAAAAATTTTCATATTGTTTTTGCACCATTTAAAAATCCCATCAATTATATGTTCAAACTTCAAAAGTCAAACAATATTTGTTGAATTTTACACAATAGTAAAATATGTACACTTTATCAAGAAATTAAGTTACTTGCTTGTTATTAGATATTAGATAAGAGCTCTAAACTGCATGGTTTCGAAGCCACACTTTTCTTCATTAATAACCGGAGTTACTTATATTGTTTTTAATAAACCATACTTCATACTTCATACGGACATTTCAACCAGGCTTTCAATTAAAGTGCCTTTTTCTTTACTCCAAATTAATCATTAGCTCATCTTTTTTTCTTTTCTTCTCGTTTTTACAATATTTTCTCTGCTCCGAAGAATGCGTCTTAAGTTTCTTCAACTTGCTTTGTACTCGCCCAGGACGCTTTGTTTTCGTTTGTCGTATCGTGTTACTCAATCTCCGTGTTTTCCAATTACTGATCATTGTTCCCTGCACGAGCTCCCTGCACGTGATCCCTGTACTCTGTAGTGAACTATTTGTTAAGTGACGCGATCAGCCCCACTTACCGTCAAATTAGCTTTAAAATTTTACGACTCAAACTTGAACTAAACACTATAACCTTTAGTTAAACGGAGAATTATGGCTCCTTTTAAATTTAGTTTCCCAAAGTCGTGAAATCGGATCAAACATAAAGTGAAAGTCGTAAGTTTGGATCAAAGAACCCTGCTCCGCATGAGCTGCATGGTTCACGATTTTTCGGGGATATAATTCCCGGAGAGAATTATAAACCTATACTACAAGCTGATGGCTAATATGCATCCGCACACATTCCGCACGATGTGAATTATGAATATTTTAAGGATGTTGCCATTTGAAGCGGTGTGCAGTGATGCAGACACGTTATATTTTTGTTTACCTTATTGGACGTTATTTTACCGGACGGTGGACATATTGCATATTGCATGAAGTTGAACGGACATAATTTTGAACGGACATAAAAAGAAACTCTCGAAGGCATTCGTTTAATGACTTTAATTTAACTACCTTGTCGGATTTTATTTGAACGGACATTAAAATAAACGCCAGGGCCTTCATGCTCCAATTTCCGTTCAAATAAAGTTTGATAAGGTAGTATATATATATATAATATATATAGTACCTAAGTATATAGTAAGAAGTCCCAAAAAGGTTTTATCATATCGTTTTTGCACCATTTTTTAATCCCATCGTTGTCCAAACTCCAAAAGTCAAACAATATTTGTTGCCTTTTATGCAAAGTAAAATATGTACACTTTATCAAGAAATTAAGTGACTCGCTTATTCTTAGATAAGAGCTCTAAACTGCATGGTTTCGAAGCCACACCTTCCTTCATTAATAACCGGAGTTACTTATATTGTTTTTATAGACCATACTTCATACTTCATACGGACATTTCAACCAGGCTTTCAATTAAAGTGCCCTTTTGTTTACTCCAAATTAATCATTAGCTCCTCTTTTTTCTTTTCTTCTCGTTTTTACAATATTTTCTCTGCTCCGAAGAATGAGTATTAAGTTTCTTCATCTCACTTTGTACTCGCCAGGACGCTTTGTTTTCCTTTGTTGTATTACTCAAGCTCCGTGTTTTCCAAAAACTGATCATTGTTCAATGTTCCCTGCACGAGCTCCCTCATGCACGTGATCCCTGTAGTAAACTATTTTTTTAATCGTAGTATTTATACAGCTCTAACTTGTAACCCTCTCACTTCATTCTTTCGACGTAATGACGATCACCACTCTCTACCTAACTCTCCTCTTGGTTGGACTTGGGCACACCTCGCCTTATAGAACAGATACGACTCAGTGGTCAACAAGCCAAGGTGATGTTGGGACAACCAGCCCTGGTTCATGGAAAGACGAGACCACTAAGCCTACCACTGGCCCCACAAGTGAAACTGAATCCACCGACTACTCTACTAGTATGTATATATA